ACACAAATTTGGTATGTTCAAACTTTTCTCATTTGATTAGCAAGTTTTTCCTTTTCCCAATCTCTCTCTCTCTCTCTCTCTCTCTCGTCAAAGCATACACGCGGGCCCATTGTTTAATTTGCAACGGATTGGTAGCTTGTAATTTTTGCACTTTACGTTTACGGTCTTTCGTTTGAAACGTGCGATCTATGGGCTCGTGTTGTTCATCTAATTTCAACTCGAAGCCCATTGTCGTCCAGCCGTCTTTTACATTCTTCTTTGTAATATCATAGCATGTTAGGCTATCAGTGACACAAACACCGTATAAATATCCTATTGATTGTTCCATAAATAACGTTTTAATGAAATATTTGCACAGCGATCGTCCAACAATCGGCTTTGATGACGACAAAAAAATCCCCACGTCGGTAAATTAACATCCTGCAAAAGGCGACAACCTCGTGTGTAATGTGGACAAAATGAATGGCGAAGCAAGAGAGAGAGAGAGAGAGAGAGAAGAAAAACTGCCATGTCATTAAGTGATATGGGGTGGCCAATGTCGGATGGGTTTCGTCAACGACGGAAAATTGTTTCGGAAATAAAAATGTCAGCGCCTCATATTCACTTGATGAAAAACATTCCATTCGCAAAAACGTGACCCGGTATTGTTCGCATTAAATGCTCTTTCCAAGCGAAAGCACTCGCCAAGCATTGTCATTGGCTTGTAAAGAATGGACAGTGGACACATAAGAGAGTGAAAAAGCTTCAACGTAAACAAAAATAAATATAATAAAAATTTAATGATACGAAGGAAGTGGCTGCCTTCCGGTTTGGATCGAACAATTCCATCAACTCTTTTAACATTACACACATACACCGAGTATACGTGAATCGCTGTCGAATTGAATGCCAACTGTTTTTTCAATTTCACTCGAATCATTTTACTCTAACGTTCACAAATGTTTCATTTATCGTTCAAATTTGTCCCACGTGAACCTAGTGGCATGTATTTAAGATACGATTTTTTGAGCCCAAATCCTTTAACTGTTTTAAGCACTTAATCTCTATCGGCGATAAATTAGATATCTTTGCGACGTCAAGCAGCTGTTTATATGGCACAATATTCGCTTATCTCCCTTCCAGTTCGTACACAATCGTGCTGCGATACACACGATAGATGCGAAAGCCAATTCCGGTACGGATGATACACCTTGTGTATTGCGAATGAATTGACTTGAATTACCATTCCGTAACGTTAGCTAATGAAATGAAATGCAGACAAGTGAAAAAGTTTCGTCTCCCTCTCTCTCACGCTCTTCGTCTTCACGGAACGTCGAAAAAGACGAAAAGTGGCTTTCTTTATGTCTGAATGACCATTGACGATGTATAGTAACACAAGCGGCATATTTCCATGCGAAACCATCGCCTACACGTTTCCATCGCAACGAACGAAAATATTTTGACATCGTCAAACGAAATATTATTTCGGTCGTGCTTCTTTTAGCTCCGTTTTCTCCATTGCAGCCACGTGAATATCAATTCAAAGAATCCTTATTTTTTATCGAAGCTTCAACTCCCTCAAAGAGAGAAAAAGCGAAGTATTTACACTGCAAATAAGCCACGTAGTGCCATTCAATCGTTTTATTTCACAGCATCAAGTGCTGAATTCTCTGTTTTTTTTTCTTCTCGCACAATTTTTTTATTTGCGAATTTTGATGTGAATTTGTCCAGTATATTCGGTTCATATTCGATGTGCTCAAGTTTATTGTGCACACTCCATAAAGAAAACATTCGAGGTGGTTTTTTTTCATCAGCGGTGTAAGAGAAATCAAATGTGATCGTTTTCTCCACACCCAACCCAAAATGGTCCTTTTGGAAATTCATACGAATTTTTCGCCATCGTGTTCGTTTAGTTTCTCCGTGTTTTTTTCTCTTCGGATGTTGTTTAATTAAAAACACCAAGCTTATTTATTTTCCACACGATGAATGAACGAACTAACGATATCGCGTGGATTAAACGCAACAACAGCATACGCTGTTAAAGTGTTGGCATGTCAAATGCGCTTGCGAAAAAAAGCGATATCATGAAAGAATTCAACTAAACGTGATGGTAATAACGCGTTTGCATCAATTTTCTACTCGCATTCTGACAAAAGCACACAATTTCGAGCGCAACCATTGCTGAGAAATGTCATTGCGACGACACAGTCTAAAGTGCTGTTGTATATTTTTATTTGCCATTTTGTTCGAACTTTTAATCACATTTTCCTTTTCTCTTTTCGTGTCTTGATACGTAGCAAGTGTAGGTTTTCGCATTTACTTTTACTCGATTGAATTCATTGCTCCATCGATGGCGGTATTTTCCGCAAATCGATCGAATGGTGCGATAAATTTCTCGATTTAATTTCAAAGTATTAGAGTAGTGTTGCCTGAATGCATGCGCAGTGTTGTATACAAACGTTTTTCGCAATTTAAACCGTTTTTGGCATTAAATATGCAATGGACAAATACATGGGAAAAGACATAGTTCCGATGCACGGAACGGTATTCGTTTGTGTGTGTGTGTATGTCGGAAACAGAAGCGAATCATTGAAAAGGATAAGAAAAATGGGTGAGAAAAGCATCGTTGGAAAAAAGGAAATTGTAAGAAGTAGAAATGAATTTCCGTTAATTGTAAGCTACGCTTTCTCTCTCTGTCTGTCTCTTTCTCGCTCGCCATTGTGAGCGAGAGATTCTATTTGGGCCACTTGCACGTATATATTCACATAATTAATGACATTTTTGTTAGGAAATCACTTGCAATGGCACTTTTCCTAGTCGTTTAACGAACGAATTGAGTTGCACGAAAGCGACCAACGAAACGCCATGAAAAAGTACACGCCAACAAAATGCCAATTTAGCCCGTTCATTGTATATGCGAGAAGAGCTGGTTTGTATGTGGGACAATCATGAGTGAGAATGTTGGTGGATGGAAGAGATTGCTTGGGTAAGTGGCATTTTTGCGGATTAATTTCATGGGTGCGGGCGACAAACTCAAAATTAATACCGAGACATTGAAACATATGCACACTGACCTGAAAAACATAACCGGCGAACTAGGTAAAACGCCCTCCGGTACTTATGTAGATCAAAAAGAATTTAATGCGAAGTGAATAGAGCCGTGATATTAAATTACCGGTGTGCACGCCGGGACACCTCGAATAATATACTCAATAGAGATAGAGAAGCTGAGAGATAGAGAAGCTGAGAGCCAGAGATAGAGAAGCTGAGAGACAGAGACGTCTATTGATAATGAATTTTCAAATGCGAAAACCCACTTAAAAATTCCCATACTACCGTGTGTCGCTTGCACACAATCCACATACACACTCACACTCAATCGGTACGAAATAAAGCGCGATTTACAATTTCCATTCTGTGGCGATAGTGGAAGAGAACGAAACAGAGACGTTTGCATGATACACTAGCAATTTATGGTATTTGAATTTGATTTAACCATTTGAAATCGATATAACCGAATCGGTTGCAATGTGAGTTGTTCCACGTTGAATTGTGTACAAAACGAACGAAATTTCCTCTCCTTATTTGCGTAATCGATCGCATTGAAACTATCCTTTTGTTGGATTCGGCCAATTCAAGCGGCATTATCAATTCGCAAATGACATCGCATAAAAAATGATTGCAATTGCTATCATTCGAGTGGAAGAGTCGATCGAAATCTTCAAAACCCATTCCCACGTACGGTGAACGAGAAAAAAAAAACGATTCAGGGTATCATTTTCAAACGATGAGAATTGAAACCGCATGGCAAACGAACCAAACAGCACGAGCAATAACCAATCAACGATTTTGCACAAATGTTTATGGGTCTCGCTCAATTTTTTTTTTTGTTCGTTCAAAACAGAGAATACCGTTCCTTTGCAATGATGAACAGTCATTTTCTACCGTTACTTTTGTGCAAATGATCATCCACTCCCACTTCATGGCTCGCTTCAACCACTTTGATTGCTGGTGCTGGTGCTGGTGCTGCTGAATCGTATGCGATGATGCATTTGGGGCCGGGGACTCTTTGTTCGCTCTCTTTGTGTATCTGGATGTGTATTTGAAAACCAATCGACGTGGGGCGAACATCATCATGTGTACAACAGACGAAAATTGCAGGAAAAAAGAGATTCAAAAATCAGCATTTGAAATTGAAATTTGTCATCAAATCTCTTTTGCTCGCTCTGTCTCCCACTTTCATTCCGTTTTGCATTTGGATTTTGTGAATTCAGCTTGTTTCTGACGCTGCTATTGATTCTTCTCTTCTTTTATTTTATTTTCTGTTCATCCGGCGCATCTTTTGATATATATATAGAAAAATGCCATCATCGTCTTTGGCACGATTGCTATCCGTTTTCAATTTCGATTGGAAAAATGCATTTTCGCTTTCATCGATTTTGTCATCCATTTGTGTGCTAAATATGTGCGGTGCCACTGTCATTTTCTCCCCTTTTGCATATTGCTCTGCACTCGGTCTGTTCTTCTTTTTTCGTTCATTCTCGCCGATTTAGGTGCAATATTGTGTGTTTATTGTGCACAAATAAAAAGAAACGGAATAGGAAATAAAAATATTTGCGCTGAGATTTACATGCGAATGTGACACAGTTTTGCTTTAGTTGGATTGGAAACGCTTTCTTTTCAAATTGATTGCAACGCTGTTTTTTTTTTTGCTTCTATCGCTGGCAAATGCAGCGAAGAGCATAAAACGCGATTCTCAAATGTCCTTTGTGCAATCGATTGCCGAATTGAAACAAGAAATGGAAATAAAATACAGCGAAATATAGAGCATATTTGTCACTTTAACGATCCGTGCGGGTCGCTTTATCGCTTTTCACAGCGACGAGTCTTTTTTTTATTTTCTTCACTTTGTTTTAAAAATTGCTTTGATTCCTCAGGATTTTATGTTTTCCATTCGATGAGATAAAATTCACGATAACAGCGAAAAATGTGAAAGAAAAACGATTGATATTGCTACTTACTTCCATAGGAACAGCGATGAAAATAGAATGACTAATAGCACGAAAATTGAACAAACAGCAATTATTGCTGATGTCTGCAGCATTGAATTGTTTCGAAAGTTGGCATCAAAATTCTGTGGGAGAAAGAAAGAGAAAATTATCATTAGTTTAAGAATGAATACAAAAAGGCAAAAGGAAAATGTCTTAAACATTAAATAAATGCTATTGAATGATTGTCACAAAGCTGATCAAGAGGCTTCATCAGATAGCCCATCCAATTCGAAATGGTCTTTAATTCAAGTATTGGCAATTGAAAATGTCGTCACCGATGCAGAGCACCATTCTATGAATGCTTGATGTTTGTTTGCAATTGGGTTCGAAATCGGATTGAAGGTGTGTGTTTCGTTTCGTTTCGTTTCGTCTAAATCTTTCGGCTAAATCAGCGTAGCAACTTCAATGGCACGAAACTCTTTAACTTCTTTTGGTTTCTTGCTTTATTTATGTTCGGCTTTTTGGACATGAGTCAATTGAATAGGTGTTTCGACAGCGATTGGCCGAAAGTGACTTTTCTTTTAAAATATTTATTCCTTGAACACCACGCACACACACAGACACACACTCAGTTCGAAATACAAACAAAGGAAAACTTTGTGCGACTGACCACTGAAATGAAAAAGGCTACCGAGACTCGAAGTAAATGTGTGTTTGCTTAATCGATTTGGGTTTGAGGTATTTACTGAAAGGTTGTTTCGTTTTCACTGTTTTTCTTTTCGCTTTGTGGAATGTGGATCAAGTCAACAGTTGCGTGTAATTAGATTAATGCTTCGTGATATGCGGCGAACTAGACGTTGACCAAGATGAAGACCGACGACGACGACCGACGGCGATGACGGCAATAACAACAAAACAACACATTGATTGATACAAACATACAATAACCTCGGCATTTCGGGGCACAAAAACCATTCGGCCATCTCTCTTAAGAAATAGAATTCCATCACTGCGAAAGTTTCTCAATCAAAATGTCGAAATCAAAGACGAACGACCGAAACGAAAAAGCTCGCCACAGAGAAAGTCAGAGAGAGAGAGAGAGAGAGAGAGAGAGAGAGAGAGAGAGAGAGAGAAAAACCATTGCACAGTCACACGATTGATGATAATCACACGCCAGAAATTCGATACACTAACGAAATCCGACAGCATTTCTCTCGCAACGTAAATAAATCCAACAAAAACAAATAAAACCGAAAAAAAAGAAGAAAAATCGCTATCTGAACCGTTAACTGAAGGACGAGCGTCACTGTGCAAACAAGAAAATACCATTGACCAAATCAAAAGATGATTAGACAATTGAAAAGCGAGCACAGAAACATGATGGAGTTTTTGTTTCTTTTGCTTTGCGCGCCCAATTCGCTTTTAATTTACGGAATGCGAACTCTTGGACAGATATAGATTGCGGTCAATTGCATGATTTGACAGACAGAGAGTAAGAACCGGAGAGACAAAGGAGTGAGAGTCCAATCGAGAAAGAAAAACAAATGCGTAAATAAATAAAATAATCCCACACAAATGTGATGGAGTTTTCTTCGCATCACATCGGACAAATCAAGACGATTTCAAATCTCTGTTTTCGGCATTGGTGTAAATCAATGGGATTACTTCCACCTTTGCGATGGCTATCGATGGCATCAAGTCCTTCGGCCAAATTAATCAGATTGATCCATCTGAGCCGGTAAATCAGTGTGACAAAAGTCAAGGTAAGAATCTCATAAGTTAAATGTCTTAATATCAACGACTTGGTGTTTCTCGAAATATTAAATTTTTCACAAAATCATTGACTCTTCGGTATGGCAACGAACCATTTTACCAAAGCATTCAATCTTTTAAAATGTCAATAAACCCACCCACAAAATCGCATTATTCTTTAGTCTTTTAATCGGTTTGAATTTGCACTTTATAGTCATTGAATCCGTTTATGGCACAGTCAAAAGTGAATATCTTATGCTGGCACAGTCTGCTCCAGAAGCAATCCATCTTCATTTATGGAATTTATTTAATGACTTTTCACATAAATCCATGCAAACAGTAATAACTTAAGTAAACAAACAGAAAAAATACAACGAGAATATGTACGTCTTCGTCAACCCTTCTTGCAAACTCACTGATAATTTTAATCAAAGTAAAACGAAAAGAGGTAAAAAGACAAAGATCGATTGTAAAAGCGGAGCGCACGTACTTTATGATTGGATTTTCATTTTAATTGGAAATATAATTGTTGAAATTCAAAAGGCTACGGTCTTAGTTTGACTTCGTCTCAAAAACGGAAAAAGTCTGAACAAACAATATGCGAGAGAGAGCCTGCGTTTGATTCCTTTTGATGTAACCCCGCATAAAAGACAGGATGTAAATATATGAATAAATAAGATGAATCGCGGTGGGTCGACGGAAAAGTCATCACCACCAACGGAAAGCGAACGGCAAACAAATTATTATCCGTAATATTGAAAATGAAGACATCTCATAAGGATATGGCACAGTCGCACACACAAAGAGGATATTGGAATCATTCCAAAATTGCGATGCTACGTTACAAGATGAGTGGTAAATTAGGCGCATCATATAAACAACTGTCTGACGAGAAAATGTCTTCGTGGAACTGATTTTGAGCATATTAAATATGGTATGGCATTTCACGCATTTCGACGCTGTCGCCGTTTGTAGGTGTGATCAACTCTTTTTCACTGGCTGCACAAATTCGTTCCATCTACCTTTGCCCGTGCGAATCGTATTCACAGATAAATTTTGTCATTTTCAGTGTTGCGACGCATCAAATCTTATTTATATTTCATTTCCGTTCTGCTCGTCGGAATGAAATTTTTTTTCCTCTATTTACATACATCAAAAATGCAAAACTTGTTTCTTTCTCTCCGTCTCTTGTCTCATTCAAAAGAAATGGAAATGTAATCAAACTGTAAAATATTCCAAAAAACATGGAATTATGAATGTACGTTGCCGTCTGTGCATTATGTACGTAGGATCAAAGTGAATGTTCCTTGTGTCGCATTTTCTGCCATTATTGTCACATAAGCCGCCCTATGGTTTTTCGTTGCATCATAGAAGTAATTAACAAGTAGTTCATCCTGTTAGACTTTGTACTACCAGCTCCACTGGTCACAAGCTCAACACAACATTTTCGCGTATATTATTTTTCATCATTTTGCTATAAATCTAATATGCTGTGTGTTCGTTTTCAATGCTCACGCTCAGTAGATAATTCAGTCGAAATGAATTCGCAAGATTATTACTTCCATTTTAGATGGAAAAAGGAAGAGAGAAAGAGAAAAAAACCGAAGAAAAAGAGAAAATTTCATTACGAATTCAAAGCAAAAATGAAAACGCTATTTTATCTGCTTTTACGCTACGCAATTTTTTTTATAATCTGCTTTTGCCAAGAAAAATGGCAAAAAGCATAAACAAATACAAATGAAATAATCGGATTTTAAATTATGCTCGTCGCACTTATCTTCATTTTTCATTAGACTTTAATGGAAAGATGTACTTTAATAGATTCGCTTCTCTCTCTCTGTCTGTGTGTGTGTGGGTATTTTTATAGAAGCTTCGCGATATTGCTGTGTGATAAAGATGATAGCGATGTTTCTCGTTGTCATGACGAGCGCATTTCCATGATACGAGTTACACGTTGGCTCTCTATTCAAAATACAATAAACGGAATTGACATTTCAATTCTCCGAAATCTCAATTTAGAAATATGCTTGATTCGTTTTTCTATCTCTTTTTCTCTCTCTCTCTCTCTGTCTCTTCCATCTTCATTTGTTGTTCGGTAGGAAACAATTTTTCTATATTTTCAATTGAATTTGATGTTATTTAAGATGTGGAAAAAATTGCTTCTATGAACCACACGTCGAATTGGAATCAATAACAATCGCATTGCAGGCAAAAAGGAACATCAACGTCAGTTCTCATCGGTGAATCACGATTTATCGAAGCATTCAGCCTTACTGTATGGTCGGTCGCTGCTGTCGCTGCCATGCAGTAAAATTGTGAAATGCTTTTCATGTTTGCCGTCAAATGTGTGGTCATTTTTATTCAATTTTGAGACAATAAAAAGCGTCAAGAAAAGTGAACATCGGACGTCCAGAATAATCGTAGTAAATATTTTTGAAATGGTCATGGGTGTTGAATGTACGCCACTAAGCTGTAGACATCTCTCTCCGGCAATACGGCAAACAACAGAACCAACACTGAACATGAAAATGACATGTCCAATTGTGTTTGTTTCGTTAGTTTCAACTGTGCCGCTACGAGAGGTCACTTTTGTCGTTTCTTGTTGTTATTTTACATGTAAAATCAATGGTATTAGACGAGGATGGAAATGGTCTGCTGTTGGTGTTCCACCCTTGATAAATAGCATTTTTGCGAATGATTTGTGTGAATGCTCTCTGTCTCTCTAATGCAGTTTGATATAGCAACGAATCGAAAGCTTAACTGTTTGTTGGCCGTCCACTGCATTTATATTTTATGTTTCTTTAAAACGAATAGAAAAAAAACGAGGAAGAAATCTCGATGTGTATTTTTTTCCCTTCGTTCAGCTGAGAGCTGACATCGGCCGAACCAACATGGGTGCCACTTAATGTAGCTGCTATGTTTGACCAATGCTAGAAATACATTTTTTTTCCTTTATATTTATCCCCATCGCGTTTTCATGACAAAAGGCACATGACTTCACAATCCATGCACATATTCGCCTGACAGAATGGAAACGACCGGGAGAAAGAGAGAAAAAGGAAGAAAAATCGAGAGAGAGAGAGATGCTGAGAGAGCGAAAAGAATGTAACAGTGGAATGAACTGAAAATCTATTTGCGAACACTGCACGCACATCCCGGCGCACTAAAATGATTTCCAACTTCAACCGGTAATACAATAAATCATTTTTAGATTTTGCCCTTCCGTATGTGCCGAGGCGCATTGCTTTTATTAACTTTAGCCATTCAGCTAACGTACAGATTCCATTTTTACGATTCCAGTGGCTATGCTTGAGTCCCGATTTTGTTTTTCTCTCTCTCTCTTTCGGGTTGGTTCGCCCATTCTCTCGCTCTTGTATTTCGATGGCAGCCA